ACGTCTGGCGTGTGAGTCTCTCCTCCGCCGGTGACCGTCTAGACTCCGTGAATGACCATGACTTCTTCCGCGCTTATCCCGCGCGTCTCCTGACTGTTCTCCGATGGGTGTTCCCAAATCCGCCATTAAAACTCCACTTGCTTGACCACGGATCCTGCTTTGACCGGCAAGATAATCTTTCCCAATGGCCACTCCGGCTGTGAGTTAAATCCAACCAATGGCGAAGTCGCCAGAGCCAAGTCTGTCTCATGGAGTTTAAGCTGCTTGAACGCATCATAATACATGATTTCGACCGAGCTTCCCTGATCGATCAAGATCCGTCTAACATCGAATTCCTTGACGCGTAGTGTTACTACTAGGGCATCGTTGTGCGGCGTCTGGATACGCTCTAGATCCCTTGAGGTGAAACTAATCACATCTTTCTCTTCGGTCTTCCCCCTTTTGATGGCAGGCTGTACCGACAAAACTTCCTTCATATGTTCTGCCTTTTTTATCATGCCCCGGAGTTCGCAAACACGCTCTGGTTCCACGATACCGTGGATGACATTAATAACTCCCTGTGGTGGTGCGTCTCGGTCATCATGTCCCCTGGGATCGACCGGAGCCTGATTCGGCTTCACGTCGCCATCAATGTACAGGTCTAGGTGCCCGGCCGCGACCAGCTCTTCTAAGTGTTGCCTTAAAGGCAAACAATCCTCAGTCCGGTGGCCTCGCTCCCGATGAAACGTACAACGATACTGCGGATTGTAGCCCTTTTGTCCATCGCCCAACTTAGCAGGAAACCGGACATACTCCTCGTCTCGGATTTCACTAAGTATGCGATAAATTGGAATCTTGAAGACCGTGGTGATGCCAGTCCTTGCCTTCAATCTTCTGTTGGCATCCGCAACATCATCTCGGGTGTAGTCATCCCGGTCGTTTCGACATCCTCTACCCCGGTTCTTATGATTCGAGCCATGGTCTGATTCTTCTGCTCTGTCACTTGAGCGGCTGGACTCTTGCCCAACTGCGTGCACTTTGCCTGCCGTCTTCTTGTCCGTTGCTACCGGAGTTGACTTCACGGTAGATGCTGACGCATCATCCTCGACCCGGATGTGCTCATTGATGCGCTGCATGAGCTGGCCCATGGACGTCGGTTAGTGCATGGTGAGCGAGTCCCGCAGTCTATGTCCGACCGGGAGACCACGCTTGTATTGAGTGATTGCAAGGTTGACCGGGCAATCCAAGATCTCGTTGAAGGTCTCCCAATACCTGGAGTTATATGCCTTTAGCGTGTCGCTCGGTTCCATCTTGACACTAAGTAAATGATCGACTTCTTTCGGTGTTTTTGTGTTGGTTTTGAAACGCATCACAAAGGCTTCGGTCAACTGATGCCACTGTTGTATGCTCCCTTTCGGCAACCTCTCGAACCACTTCAAGCCCAGCTCGCCTAAACTCGACGGGAAGATCAGGCACATAAGTCCGTCATTTCGCCTATGTCCGGCCATAACCTGTCGGAAGTGGCTCACATGCATGTAAGGATCGGTTTTTCCGTCGTAGAGTGTGAACTTAGGCTGGTGGAAGCCTGCCGGAAGCGGTGTTGTTTCTATTTCCGGTGAAAAAGGGGTGGCGCTCAGCCTGGCCAGGTCCGTATCTACAAAGAGTGGTGCTGCTTGGCGGGGTGGAGGCATTTCGACCTCCTCGCTGGCGCGAACCCCATAAGATAGCCGTTGAAACGCCGGCACCCTTTGAGCCTCCCGACGGCGAGCTCGTTCCTTCAAGACTGCCCGCAAATCCTCTGAGTGAGCAGAATATGAGTACCTCGACGTCGTCACCGGACGCGAGGGTTGGTATGTTCTATTCTGGGTGCTGGAATTTTCTGCGCGAACGCCTGAATTATCAACTCTGTAGCTTTTGGTAATGGAAATGGATGGGGTGTGTCGCTGACTCCGACTGCCTGAACGGCGTGATGGGGTGCGCTCACTGTGGTCTATCACTCCATCTACACCCTTCCCCTTGACATGTCGCTTCAGTTCCTCCATCTCTGCCACCATTCGCTGGATGACGGCGTCCTGGTCCTTCAACTTATTTTCCAGACGTCTGGCGTGCGAGTCTCTTCTCCGCGGGTGACCGTTTGGACTGCGTGAATGACCATGACTTCTTTCTCGCTTATCCCACGCGTCTCCCGACTATCCTCCGGTGGGTGTCTCCAAGTCCGCTATTAGATGGATGACGGGAGGTCCTTCTCTCCTTCGGGTGAACTCCGGGGTGGCTCCGTCTATGGCAGACAACGGAAACTCATCGTTGTTTGCCATGGACGGCGATCAGACGAGCCTGGAAGACAAGGTTTTGTCTGTCAAGCTTCCCACAGACGGCGCCAATTGTACGGGGAGCAAATATTCAGGCAAGTCCGTATTCCTTTCTTCCAAGCTCCGTTTCTGTCCGATTACCTGAAAGCACAATGTGGGTGAGCTACCCGGCGGTGTGTGGCCGGAAAACCCCTCCGACGATCTAATTAGCACACACCTTAGGGTAAAGAGAGAGGGAGGGTGTTTGAGTGTAGGAGTTCCTTACAAAGTGTTTTTTCGCGTATGGGGGGCGCAGACATGCTTATGTACCCTCTGCGCCCCATATTCACTCCCAGTCATCTCCTGACACGTGGCTCCGCTATCCCATCTGTCAGCGTAAACCTTGCTGAACATCACCTAATCTCAACTGCCTGCCTTCTCAGCTGGAGCTCGGCAGCCGAGCTGCTCTATCCACGGCCGTGCTGTGCTTCATACCCAAGCACTTCACTGGCTAAGCCCAAGGAGGACCGGGCTAGGCGGCATCTCGGCAAAGCCTAGCCCGGGGCACCTCCTGTGGTCAGCCTTCCTGCCGATCGAACGATTACCTCGGCTGACCACGCCTTTCCAGGCACCGGTCACTCAGCTTGACTGGCTCCACCATCGCCTGATCAAGCAGCTCGGTCCAACTGAGCACTGCCTTGCCGAGCAGCTTCTTTACGGTCTGGGGCGGCACATACTTGGCCCAACTCCTGCCCGGCCCAAGTCCTGGCAGCCCATCTCCGGGCGGATCGCCGGTCATCTCGGCCCCACGCACCGTTAGGCTCTCAACCTGCTCCGTCGTTACCTCGGCCCAATTCCAGATCATAAATCTCTCTCTCAGATACTATTCTTTATATTGGAATATGCATGACTCCTTGCCATCACAGGACTTGGCTACTAAAATGTTCCAATGGTTCATTTCCTTGATACATGTGTAAGGGTGGCTAATATCTTTCTTCTTTGTTTCTTCTTGGAACTTAATATTTGCTTAAAACATAGCTGGAATGATAATTTAATTTAATTTAATTTTTCATTTATTTTGTTCTTTTTCATTTTTTGGCTCTTGCTTTAACCAGAAGGAGAATGTTATGTAATGGAGATTTCGGGCACCCCAACCCCTAACACACAACAAAAAACTGTGGGATGGTATATAGATAATTTGGAAGGATGAAATCAATCATATAAACCTGATTTACGAACAATATCTATTTGTGTGAGCCATCAAATGGTATATCATGTTAAAATAAGTGCACTGGGCTATTGCATATGCAAGTGAAGCTCAAGGAAATTTGGCATGCTATCACTTGGAATAATGTTATGTCAAGGAACATTCTATACCGTGATGTGTAAATTTCAAACTAATAATAATCCTGGATAATTGCTGCTATTAACCTTAATCCTCTGCTAATATTTCTAGAACGATTTTGAGCCCACGTTTGAAAGTCAAATTTACCTGTTTTTAAATATTTATATATTTTTCATCTTAATAATTTTAGTACTACCTTTGGCAATTAATTTTACTGTGAGTTGTTTATATGATGTGTAGGATATTGCAGAACATTTGACAACAATATATCTCAAACGCTGTGAACGTGGCAAGCGCTGCTTATATGAAGGTTCAACTCCACCAGATGGATTTCCTAATTCTTGGGTATTTTCCTTTTGATCCTATTTTCATTGCTTTATCTGTTCTTTTTCCTTCTGGAAAATCTGTTCTTCATGGAAGCTGTAATACCATTTGATCAGTTACTTCTCTCTGTGTCTCCCTCTCAATATATGACAGAATGGTGCAGCATACTGTACCTCAGAACTTTCAGTCTTGAAGAATAATGAGATACATACCTGGGATAGGGGCTATGATGATGATGGAAACCAAGTTAGTTGAACACTCGCTTATATATTATTCCGTATTTCACTTGAACGTTTTTATTATTATTCTATATGAAAGCCTCTGGTAATAGTTCTTTTATTTTGTTGCAGGTTTGGGGAGTTAGAGGAGGTCCTTACGAATTCAAGCCTGCACCCGCTTCGAGTTTTGTTGATATGTTTCCTCTAAATTTTCCTCCTCAATCCATGGATAAAAGGATAGAGGGTTCGTTTGTACTCCAAGAATGATCACCTCTCACTTACAGTCATGAATATGTAAATCCAACTTTATTTTAAATCTCATCTTTAATCAACGTTGCACACAGATAGTGTTCAGATGTCAGAGTATACTGGGGAATGAATGGGTTTCTTAGGCATGTGTACATATTTGGTCTATTTTGCAGTCTTCGTAGGCTGATACACCTCAAATTGGAATACATGAATAAAGATTATGGATTAACTTAATTCTGTAAAATCACTTTGTGAGGCATACCAAGGGGGCTATCCCGCTGGTATTTTTGGAAAGGGGCAGCACGAGTGTGGAAGAGCGTTGCAGAAAGATCTGCAGTTTCCCTTTTACACAAGGAGGTTGGTTAATATATATGTATATATATATATTTCTTTTGTGTGGTGAGTAAAAACATTTTGAATCTTCCCCTAAAGGCATTTGATCATAGCCTCATCATTATGTGCAAGCTGTCTGTAGAGTATTTTTGCATCTCAGGAGGGTTGTCAAGTGAATGGAGAATCTGTGTTATAGGGCTACTGTGATTGAGCATTTCTGAGTCTTTTATGAGTATGCTAGTTGTATCCTCTACCTGGGTTGTGACTTATTTTGCTGATGGTTGTGGAATATGGATATATAGTTCTCTCTCTAGGCATGTTATTCATTACAGCTCATCTTTTTATAAGCCAAATCTCATGTCTGCCCTTGCCCTTTTTATATGCCAAATAACCCATGTCTGTCCTTGCAAGGGCCTATTCTTGTACCCCACTAGCCGGTCAAAATAGGTCAAATTAGCTTCACTGATGCTATTTGGGATTGTTTTGTACAACTTATTAAGCTTTTTATAACTATTTTTATTTTAAAATTTTGTATTACAGTGTTTGCTATAGTTTTTGCTTATAACTTATAAGACAAAATAACTTAAATAAAATTTTAAAAACTGATCATTGAAAAATTGTACTTTTAGGTCATGTTTGATTTACAAGACTAATAGTGAAGTATTAATAATCCTATTAAAATTAGTATGGTATTTATAATCCAATTGGATTAATAGGATAAATTATCCATTGGATTAATAATCCCACTTTTACCCTATTACTAATATTCCTACAAATTTGTTGGATTAATTATCCATTTGGATTAATAATCCTAAACTAAAATGTTAAAACAAACACAGGTTAATTGAGCTCACGGATTAATAATCTCAATCCCATACTCTAATCCATCCAATCAAACATGCCCTTAGTTTTTACTTTTTGATTAGTGGCTTTCAGTTTATTGGAAACTTCACCAAATAGGCCCATTCTTATTGGTCTAGTAAGCCAAAAAGTGTGTGAATTAGATAAAATGCATATTTGATCAACTAATGCATTATTAAGCTTAGGCCCATACAAGGTATGTGGCTTAATGAAATCTATTTTTTTTACATTCCTCATGGATTTTGAATTTTTTCTCCAAGAAAATTTGACAATTCAGCTCTGGGAAGGGCAGAGCAGAGCTGGAACATACAATGCATTACAAGTTTTATGAACAACAAAATTGAAACAAAAAAGGGAATTACAAGAATAACTCTCCATTCTAGAAGTCCAGCTTGGTGGTGGCTGTCATGCAAACTCAGTAAGTGCTGTTGAGGTAAAAGTATAAACCAGCCAGTGCAGCAACCCCAATCACAATTGCAATAGGCAATGCTTTCCTGTACCCAGTTAATTGAACATCATGTGAGAAGTTGATTCATATAAGCTTGAAATAGTTGTATTACGTGTTGCAAAGAATGTACAATCATTTTATTCTATTCAATCAATGTTCTTAGAGTACTTATTAACAAGACATGTAAAAAAACATGAAACATTATTTGAAAGAAAGAACCATTCTTACCCAATAGCTTCATCTCTCTGGAGCTCTGCCTTGCGGGCTTTTCGGACATCCGTGGCATTGGCATTTTTGGATACATCAGGTGCATATGCCCTAAATCTTCGTTTCGGAGCACCACAAACTGCAAAACGAAACAAAACAAACAATTTACAGAACTCGTAATGTTGGGTACACAATGCATCCCTTACTAACCGCTCTAAAATCAGGTCTGCAGGTACAAGTCATTGTTGGCTATACATAGCTTGTCAACGCTTTCAATTTATAAAAAATAAGAAACAAGTTTTCGTTTATTTTTAATAGAAAACTTGTTTGGTATAAAAAAATATTTTGAAAATAAATAAAAGTAAAATTAGCGAAACATATTTGATGAGTTGCCAAAGTTGGTGGATGGATGTGGTGACCTGTGGTTGGAAGTGTCTACTAGAGTTTGTGGTCAGATGTTGCTGAAGGTCACATGGTGGCTAGGACACCAAAAGGTAGCCAAAGATCACGACAGTAACCGGCCACTCGGCACAGAGTTGCCGGAGGTTGGCCGGAGCTCACTAGACATCAGCGGTGGGTGTTGGCCAAAGGTGGTAGATAAGAGGAAAAAGTGAAACCTTGTTTTTAAAAAAAAAAAACATGTGAAAGCATTTTTTTTTTTTCAAAAATTTTGAATATTTTGAAATCAATTTCATTTTTTTGAAAACAAAAAATAATATACTAAACAAGTTTTTGTTTTCAATTATCAAAAAAATTAAAGACAAACAGAAAAAAAGAAACAAAAACGTTAACAAACAACCTGTAAAATTGTTATTACTAAGATTGCTCTAAAAACCGGCATGTAGATGCATGTAAATCAAAACGCTCCCTAAATTTTAGAGAAGACAGTGGAACTAAGTCCGACAGAACTAATGCAACATTTTATTTTTATTTTTATGATTAAGAACTAAACCTAGGTAGGGGGGTCCTTTGAACCCAATCCAGGCTTGTAAAATTCATAATTCAGAGGCCACCATAAGCCTATGAATTGGGCAAGTGGGAGTAGAATCGAACCTCAGACCTAGAGGATCCCCGTTGACCTGAAATGGCCTAAGACATTGTTTTCCAGAATCAAAATTCAGAAAGTAAGGCAAGTTTGATTATGATAAAGAACTGACTGAGAAATTAACTAAAAACATTTTCGAAGGTGAGAATTGTTGAACAGAGAAATTGAACATAAACTGAAATCAGAATAAAAATTGAAAAAACAACAAGGTTAGATTCATGGATTGATGGTGAAAATAACACCAAAAAAATTAAAGACAAACAGAAAAAAAGAAACAAAAACGTTAACAAACAACCTGTAAAATTGTTATTACTAAGATTGCTCTAAAAACAGGCATGTAGATGCATGTAAATCAAAACGCTCCCTAAATTTTAGGGAAGACAGTGGAACTGAGTCCGACAGAACTAATGCAACATTTTATTTTTATTTTTATGATTAAGAACTAAACCTAGGTAGGGGGGGTCCTATGAACCCAATCCAGGCTTGTAAAATTCATAATTCAGAGGCCACCATAAGCCTATGAATTGGGCAAGTGGGAGGAGAATCGAACCTCAGACCTAGAGGATCCCCGTTGACCTGAAATGGCCTAAGACATTGTTTTCCAGAATCAAAATTCAGAAAGTAAGGCAAGTTTGATTATGATAAAGAACTGACTGAGAAATTAACTAAAAACATTTTCGAAGGTGAGAATTGTTGAACAGAGAAATTGAACATAAACTGAAATCAGAATAAAAATTGAAAAAACAACAAGGTTAGATTCATGGATTGATGATGAAAATAACACACACACACACACATATACCAGGACAGAAGTAGCTATCAGGTACTTTCTCAAATGGAGTTCTGTCATTGTAAATATACCTGCACTCACCAAGACAAAGATAACCACATTAAATCTCACAAAAGTTTAACAGTGTCTTCCTAAATAACTAAATTAGACTCTAAAAATGTCGTATATTTGAGTGAGAAACACAAAAGAAGAAAGATTCGAACCCGCAGTCCCGGCAAATATAGGCCTGCTTTGAAGCCACACGCATAGAGAACTTTGGTGCAGCAGCAGCAGAGACAGGAGCCTGCTGGGGAAACAATAAGTTAACAGATGGAGAAAAAAACGCTGATTTCAGAGCGAAACGATCTGATGGCCGTCTGAGGCCGGTGGTGGGAGATGATAGAAGAGGAGAAGCTGTTGGCAGGGACTGTGTGGCCTGGAGGGCCATTTTTGTAATTTTATTTTGGTGACTCTTTTCTTCTTCTTGTCTCAGTCTTTGTTTTGTTTTGTACAGTAGTTGGGAATGGGAAGAAGAGGTGATGGGGAAGATAAGAGACAGTGGTAGATTGAGGAGTAAACTATGCAGAAGTGTGTAGAATATTTAGTGTGGAAGCGTGGCCTTTCATGCTCCCCACACAAACACAAAGCTCTCTCTTTCCCTACCCAACTTTTGGAACCTGCCTTATCTTTTTTAGATGGCCCTGTTTCCAACTCCCTGTTAGTTTTTAAATTTCTATTATCAAATGAATTTTACTGATTTTTCTCCCCATAATATACATATGAATCACTAAACAAAACAGTAAAGAGAAAAAAAGTAAATACACATTGTGAGAGCCGAATATATGAAACTCAATGTCCATTGGGCCATATAGGGTCAAAGCCCAATGGGCCATGGATAGGTCACCGAATAGCCATAGAGGCCCATGAGACCGAGCGTTCATGCCATAAGTTGAAGCCGAGTAGTCCAGGGGAGACGGAAGGGCCCTATTGGACCAAACTGCTAGGCCATCCCATAAAAGCATGGTGACAAGAAAAAGACTATAAAAGAAGGGGACGAGCCTGAGAGAAGGGGCATGCAAAAAATAGTAACTTAGACCTCAAGTAAGATAGAATACCAAGGACCCAAAGATACAATTGGTTAATCTATCGGAGTGAGAACTCCGGCGCCATTGATGGGAGTTGTATATCTATTTCAGGCGACATCAAAGGGATCTTTGAGGCCTACCTGGACCCAAGGAGTATTTCCTAAAATCCACTTCCCCACAACTGGCGCTGTCTGTGGGAATACTCAAACTCGTCTACGGCTAACCCACCATAGGATCCTTCGCTCATCGTAGATGATGTTGTACCAGGAATAGTGTTCAGTTCGGCAAACACTCCTCGCAGGAAGATCTATGAACTTTGACTTAGTAACTCCTATGCCTTCAACTTCAACGGAGGGCACCATGCAGACTTTGACAAACCAAGCAAGACAAAACGAATAGTGGCTGGATGATACGGCAACTGATAATGAGCGTCTGAGCTAGGAGTTGGCAAAGTCCCAGCATAATACATCCTATAAAGATCGGGGCCGATCGCCGGAGAAGAAAGTTACAAAACAACGTTGGCACCGGGGACATGAAATTAACAGTACGTTAGACTCATCACCTAAAGAACCCAGAACGAAAGGTCGAGTGGGTACCTCCAGCTCATTTGAAGGAAGTCCTTATGTTCGATGTGGGCGTAAGAAAAGAGGTGACGATTTGGGGTTAGATGACAAACACGATCCTTTTGTGCGACGTATTGCCAAAGCTGTCTTACCTAAAAAGTTCAAATCACCTACGTTTACTCTGTATGACGGCAAGTCGAATCCTACAGACCACATTCGTCAGTACAAACAAGCAATAACGTCACATGCAGATGATGGGACGCTCATGTGCCGTATATTTCCCAGTAGCTTAGGACTGTTAACTGTCAGGTGGTACTAACAACTCGAACATACTTTAATCAAGAGTTTCCATCAGCTTCAAAAATCTTTCAGGGTGAGATTCATCACTAATGAGATCCAGCCAAAGTAAGTAGATTCGCTATGGGCAATGAAAATTAAGCCGGATGAAACTTTGCGTGAATATTCAGCACGCTATTGAGAGTGCTTTAACCTGGTTGACGATGATTGCAACGATTCCATGACCATTACCGCTTTTAAGTTGGGGCTGCACCCTAATAGCCCACTCAGAGGTTCATTAACTAGACGGCCTCGCAAGACAGTCTAGGCCTTGATGAAGAAAGTTGAAGAGTATTGCAAAGTGGAAGATGATGTGATCCGAATAAAGGGTGGCCAATAAGTTGTGGAAACTGTAGTACCTACCCTGGTACAACCATTGAGTATTGTGCCTCCGGAGAGAACCAGAAATCCAGAGTCGAGAGTTCAGCCAAGGAGGGATAGTCGCCGAGAATCTCGTCGTCCGAGCAAACAATTTCAGGTGGAAGATAGGCACCCAAGGCGGTCGGACAAGAAATACGTGGAACTGTTGGAGCCAATTAGCAAGATCCTGTCCAAAATCCAACTTACCGTTCTTCAAGTGGCTGGCTAAGATGATCGGACATCCTGATACGAGACGTAGAGATCGGAGGCATGAATACCACAAAGATCATGGGCAGGAGACCGATAAATGCTATGCCCTAAAGAATCATCTAGAGAAATTGGCCCAAGATGGCCGATTACGCGAATATGTCAGCGTCAAGCATGGTCCATCAAATGCAGTGGCCCTACGCCCAGATTCGCTTCTACTCAGTGTGATCCAAATGATATACAGCTTACCGCATCCAAACAGGGTAAACACAACTTAGCTACAACAGTTAACCCCACCTGAGCCACAAACGTTGGCCAAACGGCCTCGACTGATGAACGAAATTAGTTTCTCTGATGCCGATCTCGAATGAGTGACCCTTCTGCACGATGATGCCCTTGTGATCAAATTGCGTGTGACTAAGTTCGCCGTCGAACGTATCCTGATCGATCAAGGAAGTACTTCCGAGATAATGTATTAAAAAACCTTCCACAAACTTGGCCTCAACGATTTAGATCTTCTCCCAGCTGATTATCCCCTATTTGGCTTCAACACCAATCCTGAATATCTCTTGGGGAAGATTACATTACCGGTGTGCACAAGTACCAAAACACAGGATGTGGAATTCCTGGCAGTCAAGCTTTCATCACCTTACAACTTGATCATGTGATGAACTTAATTGCACGTGATGCAGGCCATACCAAGCACTTACCATCAGCTTCTTCGTTTCCCAACTCAACATGGAATCGAACAAATTCAGGGATCTCAGAAGTCAGCAAAGGATTGTTATCTCGTTGCCTCAACGAAGAAGCCTAGGGAATTGGAAGTAAACTCAATCAAAGTCTCTGACTGAGAGAACCTCGACGATGTGGGCAAGACACCGGCTGAGAAGGCAATAGAGGAGCTAGGCTGAGTCAACATCAATGATGAACCAAAAAAGCTTTTTTCTAGTTGGCACCTGTCTTAGTACAACCGAGCAACAAGAGATGGTCTCCTTCTTGCTTGGCAACATCGATGTTTTTGCATGGACACTTTACAAGATGCCAGGGGTGGACTCCGATGTAGCCATGCATAGCTCGCATTTTGACCCGAAAGCTAAACCAGTGGTTCAGAACAGCTGTCGATCAGTCGCCGAGCATGCTTTGGCCGTAAGTGATGAAGTAGACAGACTCCTGGAAGCTGGGACAATTTGGGAAGTAACCTATCCCACATGGTTGTCCAACACAGTGGTAGTGAAGAAGAAAAATGGATCATGGCATGTCTATGTAGACTTCGCCGATCTAAACAAAGCCTGCCCCAAGTGTAGACACCCAATTTTTGACCGCCCGCAAGACTTGGGCACTTTGTCCTGTGCACTCGATGATGAAAGTGACATTGTCAATGGTTCAAATTTTCAGCAAAGGAATTCGGTTTTGAGTTCTAAACACATCACAACCTTCCATACCAAGCTGTTTCTATACCTCTAGACCACAAAAATCCATCTTATAGCACTGTGTCATCCTACACTAAGCCTGAAACAGAGGAACAGAGAGCACATTGGGACCCAACCGTGCCTTATTGGGGGCCAACCATGGCCATTTGGGGCTGGTCGTGCCTTTTTGGCGAGAAACATTATTCTGGGTGGGAATCCACCAGCTGTCTATTTTTGAAGATATTTTCGACCTATTTTGCTAAACTTCTATAAATATGAGCATATATCTCAGTGTTAGAGGTCAGAAAAATTTCTAAGAAGCTAAAGCACCAATGAGAGCTCATTCTTCCTTTGTAAGCTAACTTTGAGATATTATACCATCCTTACATTATATCTATACACCATATACAACCTTAAAGCAAAGCCTTAGAATCTTTGTTGAGGCTTGAGAATCACAATTCAAACTTGAGAGCATTTAGATTGAGTTTGGTTTACAACAACAGCTTGTTCACTTCAAGAGGTATAAGTTTACCACCTTTCTCTTTGCTTTCATTTCTGTCTTGTTCTATCTTTTTTTAGTGTTTTCCCACCATTTTGGATCCATTTCAAGTGTTGGAACTTAGGGTTGAATAGCTACCAAAGGTAGAGAGGCTTAACACCCTTTCTTGTACCTTACTTCATCGCTCATTCCCTTTGTTTCACCACTATTTTTCTTGGCTTACAAACTGATTTTGAGAGTTTAAAAGGGCTGAAAAACATGGTTTAGAGGTCTCAAAAGTGGAGGGATTAGACATCCCTCCTCGGTTTTGCTTACTAGTCATATATCTCTTTGTGCTTACCTATCTCTTGTTCTCTTTTAACATGTTCATTAGCTACTGTTTTTCTACTTTAGGGGGCTATTTAGGTTTGTTTAAATTCATTTAATTAATTTGTGCTTTGAATACTTTGCTTGTTGTGTTGTATGTCCTCATGGCTTCGGTTGTTTAGGACTTAGATATTGAGTCATTTTAGTTGATAGCTTTCTTTGCTTGGTTTCTATGTGAAGAGTCTCATTTTAATAATCAATCTCGCATAATCATTTATGCACTCTCCCTCCTTTCTCAGTTTTTCTTTGTTTGAGAGTTATTTCAAGTGATTGATTGTTATTGTCCCACTGTTTTGGATCCATTTCAAGTGCTAGAACTTGGGGTTGAATAGCTACCAAAGGTAAAGAGGCTTAGCACCCTTTCTTGTACCTTACTTCATGGCTCAGTCCCTTTGTTTCGCCAATATTTTTCTTGGTTTACAAACTGATTTTGAGAGTTTAAAAGGGATGAAAAACATGGTTTAGAGGTCTCAAAAGTGAAGGGGTTAGACATCCCTCCTCGGTTTTGCTTACTAGTCTTATATCTCTTTGTGCTTACCTATCTCTTGTTCTCTTTTAACATGTTCATTAGCTACTGTTTTTGTACTTTAGGGGGCTGTTTAGGTTTGTTTAAATTCATTTAATTAATTTGTGCTTTGAATACTTTGCTTGTTGTGTTGTATGTCCTCATGGCTTCAGTTGTTTAGGACTTAGATACCGATCATTTTAGTTGATAGCTTTCTTTGCTTAGTTTCTATGTGAAGAGTCTTATTTTAATAATCAATCTCACATAATCATTTATGCACTCTCCCTCCTTTCCCAGTTTTTCTTTGTTTGAGAGTTATTTCAAGTAATTGATTGTTATTC